TGGCCTCCAACCTAAGACTGATGGCCTCCAACCTATTAGCGATGGCCACCAACCTAAGACTGATGGCCTCCAATCTATTAGCGATGGCCTCCAACCTAAGAGTGTTGGCCTCCAACCTAATAGCAAGCACGTCCTGTCCTTGTTGAGGTCATTCTGGATTCTGGTCAGCAGCTAGCACAGGGTACGATATTCCAGCAAGTCATTGTGGTGGCAGGGTATCAATGAAAGCTCTAAGGCTTCTTCCTGGTGCATACATCTCAATATGATGTGATTTGAGTCGAACTGCATTCGCAGAGGTCAACCCTCGATGACGGTGGACCATGCGGGACCATATAAAAAAATCAGTGGGTTTACGCATCAGGGGACGATGGGCTCGTCATCCAAAAGGAGCCTCTCACAAAAAGCAACCACACGCTGCAGGAGAGCAGTGCCGCATTGTCCGGTTTCTTCAACCTAAATGCTGAAGCCAGAGAAGCTGACTCCAAGGGCCCTTTGAAAGCAACACATTGGGACACAAGGGTCGCATCCAACAGCAAAAGGAAGGGCACGGAAGGGTAGAAAAAATTGGAAAGTGGTAGCTGTGAGATGCTGTGAGCAGATTTGGGAATCGCATCGCGAGAGAACGTTCTATCAAATCATTTCTTCCGCAACAAATGTACAATAAATCGGGTCTTAATTCCAATTCTTTCAAACCTTTTTCTTCAGATGCTTTCTTACCACATCTAGCAAATATTTAAAAATCTTGTTTATTCTTGTGTGTTTCGGCCCTTATTGTGGTTGTGCTTCCGCTTTGTGGATCCATAATGAAACGTTCTACAGAGTGATTGCGGTTTATTACTTACTGTTGTGCTCTGCAATTGTATATGCAAAGCTTATTAATCGTTATAGTTATATAAGTATCTTTCAATCACAATTTCTCCACAGAATCATATCTCTATTATATATATATAATATATTTCTCCCCTAGCACGCCGGTGAAGCTAAAGAGGAGCACATGTACTTGTATCTCTGTACCCAAATATAGATTGATCTCTTATAGACCTAGACTCTAGACGTTCGCATGTAGCTTTGACACCCTTCTTTTCTGCGACTTTGTAGCTGTAACATGTCTCTCGCCTCTGCTCAATAGCCTTCGACTGCACCACATGTTACGTGTTTCTTCCGATAGGAAAAGCAAGGCCTTGCAACCATGACCAAGGGCATGTGTGGACTTCGCAGGCGGTCGGGTAACAAGCACCTGTGGCTTGCATCTGTGGTCATTTCAAGGTCTGTGATGAAATTCATTTGTTTTGATGGGGGAAAAAAGTATCAAGTTCCACTTCCAAATCTAGTGGCGACTCCAAATTCCTCTGATAAAGAAAAACTTGTTGGCCTTCTTTGATGGTCCCATCAGGCCCTTCAAAGCCATGTTTCCCCATATGTTTACGCATGATGACGGATCTCAAGCACCCTTGAAAAAATCGGACAAATGACAACTTGGGACGTGCTTTTTTGTTTTACAAATCCCAACTCACTTGCACCTAGTACACAACAAAAGGACGACTGGAGACGGCTAGCAGGGCGAAGCTCGAAGAAAAAGAGAGAGACAGGAGGACAAGAAGAGGACAACAGGAGGACAAGGTCTGGAGACTGGCTGTTTGCCGTGGCCAACCTGGTGTCAACAAGAGGACAACAGGAGGACAAGAAGAGGACAAGAGGAGGACAACAGGGCGACAAGACGAAGACAAGAGGAGGAAAAGAGAGAAAAAGGACGACAACAGCAGGACAAGGTCCGGAGACCGGCTGGTAGCCGCGGCCAAGCTGCACACCAAAAGAAGCCCTGGCACACTTTTCACACGTGACGGTTTGGTTCGTAGAGCTTTCTGGCGAACATGTGCTGGAGGGTGCAATATTTCGCCTGAAGACACGATCTAAAAAGCTTTCCAGATCAGCCGCGTGATGCCGAATGCATGATGTGTTGTTGTCGTTTTTGGCCCAAGCTGGACCGTGTGGGAGCACTGGTAATTTCTGCCAATTCTGCACATTTCTGGCGGGGTCATTTCCTTTCTCCAGTTACACTTCAATGTCACTTCATGATCATGCTGGCCGCAGGTTTGTGCAGAGTCAACACTTGTTGCTGCCAGGCCACCGGCCTGCGAGTTATTCTACCATGGGAAACACTCAGCAACTTGGCGCATGCCAGGCAAGCATGAGGTCCTACAGTCCTACTGATTACTGAGTTGCAAGAAAGCTGACGGCTGTTAAAGATCAGGCAGACAAGTCATTTTGCTCTTTGCATTGCCGGTACAATCAGTGTCCACAATTTTGCACACCAGCTACACCGATGACACCGGCTACACCAGTTACACCGACGATCACAGCCGCCATTGTAAGTGCCAGCGTAACAGCGCATGATGGTTGGCGGACACGCTTCGCCATGTTGCTCTCATTTTGACCTATATATGTATATATCTACCGTCTCTGGAAAAGGTCAGACTACTATAGTATTAGGATGCTATTAGGTGGAGGCCATCGCAAGTAATTATAGGGAATCACACTTTGATGGCACTCGCAAAACACCTTTGATATGCCATCAATTTGTGATCTCTACTTGGGAAATGCCATCAACCACTTGAGGCTAGATCCTGGAAGAAATAGATGGCATCTAGTGAGATTCTGGGAAAAAAAGCAACGTCCTTCAAAAGGCTACTAGTGGCAAGGACGCTACTAGTAGCTCCTGGCCTTACCACTAGGAGCAAGAAGCTACTAGTAACAAAGGGCATCGCTACTAGGAGCAAGGACGCTACTCTTTGAACTCTCAGGTGCTGCAAGTCCGTTGACACCAGCCCAGATGCAGCAGCTGAAGCCATGCCCACACTGGACTTGAACAGCTGAAGGGGCGAGATGGGGGGATGGTTTCCTGTTGAAAGCCTGTTTCTTACAAGGAATGTGTCTCATGTGAACTCAAAACAACTTTGGGGCCGCACATTGTTGCAAAACACATTTGGTGTTTCAAGTCAAGGAGGTTAGGTGAAAGGACATTCAAAACACAAGCAGCTATTAAAAGTGAACGTGAATCTTTACCGTGCCTCTTGTGATGTGCCAGGATGTTTCTGCATTTGCCAACACTCAAACTGCTGGCTACTAGCAACAAAGGGCATCGCTACTAGGAGCAAGAAGCTACAAGAAGCTCCTGGCATTACGACTAGTAGCAAGAAGCTACTAGTAGCAAGTATGCTATTAGGGAGCGTTTGATTTATTTTATTTATCTTGACCGTAGCCCACGCTAGGAGGGGTTTCTGTGACTGGACCGCCAAGCTCCCCAAGCTGCTTGCAAGAATGCTGTCTTTGAAAACCCGGTGCAATTACAAAGCTAACGCTGCTTTGACTCCTGAAGGGAGTCTGTTCTGCAGGAGTCTTGGCCGGCGAATCCCGGGAAACCACTGATCGTTCAGCTCCCAGCACTGTCCAACTTTCATCCGAAGAGTTTCTGACGAAACAAGTCTCTCAAAATGTACACTAGTAGCGTCCTAGTTACTAGTAGCGATGCCCGGGCTCCTAGTAGCGATGCCAGAAGCCCCTAGTAGCGTCCTTGCTCCACTTGAAAGTGAGATCCTACAATCATCACAATCTGAGCAGAATGGCAAGACCAAGCCAATGCGTTTGCATCCAACTACTGTGGAAGGGGCATTCTGACTGCGGAAGGCACATATGATAGGTGATCTACCTTAGGAACCCCCGCCAGGGCAATTTGTATATAGTATATAGAAAGTAGAAGGGAGAGGGCGACATGAGCATTTACCACGGCCGCCTTTGCACCCATCACCAAGGAAGTACCAGCAGTTTCTGGTGGAAATAGCCCGCAGGCACCTTGCCAACTTAGATTTTGATGAATCAAATGCCCAGCAAATGCATCGGAATTTCGGAAAGTTTACGCATTCCAAAAGTCTTTCTCGTTTCGATGTGTATGCTTCTGGAGGAGCGCATGTACAAGGTGAGCCTTGTCAAGTCCGACCCTGAGACCCCATTGGGGGAGTGTTCGCTACTAGAAGCAAAGGGCATCGCTACGAACGGAGCAAGGAAGCTACTAGGGGCTCCTGGCCTTACTACTAGGAACAAGGACGCTACTAGGAGCAAAGGGCAGAGGTTAGAAAGCAACTGCTTCCTTTCCCTTGCAGAGCGCCAGCGCACCTGGCTTGCGGCAGGCTTGATATCTTGCATCCTAGGACCGAAGGGCAGAAGTTGGGATTGGATGTGGACTACATGGCCGAGTCGCGACCTTGTCCACAGCAAGCTGGGCGCTCCCACACATGGTACAAAGCCGTCGGGAAAACGTCATTCAAAAACTTCGCGACGGTCGCAGAGAAGATGCGTTATATGTCCCGAACGTTTCCGAACATTTCGAAACATCTTCTGCGATGAGCCAGCTGCAACGTGACTGAGGCGCAGCGTGTTGCCAATTCTTGTCATCTCTGGAGGTATTGCTGAGCAAGTTCCCCAGCCGATCAAAGCCAGAACACTAAAATATAGAGAAGAAAGGGAATGTGCTGGCTCCTTTGACAAAGCCCTCTTTCAAAGGGGCCCAAATACAACATTCTAAGTCTGAATGATTGATTTTTGCTTTCTCGACTTACAAGTGCCCTTTCGGGGCTCTTCAGAGCTCGAATGACCCACTAGATTCCCGAGTGTCATCGAGAGCTCAAGCTGAGCTAGTTGCATGTGTTGATCCCACACGGACCAACTATGACGCGTACCAACTGCTGCGCAAAGACTGCAAGGCAATGGAACAGAAGCCATCCGGAGAGAAAGATGAATACTGGTGCACCAAGCTCAATCGAAAGACACGATGGCAGTGAGCGCTTAAAGGAAGGCAGAAAGAAGATTTTCATGGTGTTACACATGGACCTGCTTTGAGGACAGCATTGTCGAGGTGAATGGCATTCGAGGTCATTCTTGTAATTTCGGTGCCGACGGTGGTTGTAGCATGTTAGAAGCCATGCTTTTCGAAACTCGTTTCGTGGGCAGCATGTTCGCTGATGTTGCCCTGTGCCAACAGGCAACGTTGCACTCATGCTTGAGAAGTGCAAGGTGGATGCCACGTTGGAGCTCCAACCTTAGTGAACAAACATTTAGAAGCACAATTGCAAACAGGAGAGTTTTTTGGTAAAAGGCTCCTCATTTGTTGCTTTGCTTCTGAAGGCAGCTTTTGCTGAGCGGCTCGTATTTTGTTCTGCATGGCTCCAGGTTAACCATTTGCAAATGCCTCACCTATGGGCACTTGGTCCGGAGCTTTGTCCACGTGCTGTTGTGTAGCAGGTGCAGCCGCTGTGTAGAGTAGCGTTCGGTTACCCAGGTGGCTGACCTGGAGAAGTTGATCTCAATCAAGGGCTGTGGCCCAATCATGCTCGAAGCTGATTTTCATCATGCCTACTTTGTTGCTTGCGTATTCTTCCTGAATCATCTGTTCAGACCAGATCCTTCAAACAAGCCTATTTGCATCTATTTGCACTGGCTTAGGGTCCGCTTGTCTTGGCATGATGCCGGTGTTTTCAATGGTGCCCAAGCCGTAGTTGAGTTGCTTTGCTTCTCATATCCACTTCTGACGACATTCAGTGTGCAAAGTAGCTGGCTGTGTTTCGTGTCTCGTCTCACTCCATTATGCCACACTTGCGTCTTTCGCATTGCAGGCGTCGATGGTTGCCCCAATGCTGCAATGCGCTTGGCAGGCGGGCGCAGTTGCGTGCCACTCGACATGTGCCTTCCTTTCTTAATTTGGTTGTTCTCGTTTGACTTTGAGACTTTTATAATGATCATTTTTGAATCTTTTTCAGACCTTGTTTCCTGTTCTTAATTATTAATGGCTTGCGCAAACTCAGGAGGAGGGGAATATGCGTTCGGAGCCAATGCTGGCTTGCAAGAGGCTCAGCTTTATTGTGTACACCGCATAGCGCTGTTCCTGCTAAGCCTAGGCCTCAAGTTGCTATTCCCCTGCTCCAAGCTATCAGTGACAAGTGACCTTGATGTCACTGTTGTCTACCGTTTCTCATATAAATTGGCTCGTGCACACTTTAATGGAAAGTTGAAGGTACGTTCCAAGACTTATTTCGCATTCAGACCTGTGGGCATTGGCTGCCAACGTGGCAATCAAGGCAACGGAAGAGAGGTAGAACTCGAGCTCGGTAGAACCCGACACCGACGGGATCCGATGAACTTGACAGGTCATGGGAGGACCTGACATTGTGACCCACTTTGGCCGTTTTGACGTCCCTGGGCCAGAGCATAACTCCGTCTTACACAAAATCTGCACGAGGTGAAAGGTATGCATTGGGGTTTAATCTATAGGTATATATATATACACATTTGTAGTTTATAGTGGTTTATATGCATTGACAAGGGAAAACAACTGATACGTGTAATTTGCACGTGAAAAGGTGCCTCCTTGCAAAGGATAGACCTGCTTGTGGGGTCTCCAAGGTCCAAGCACACAGTGAAGGTGTTCAATCTGCAGCTGGCAGACTTCCGGAGCCAAATGGGGAAAAAAACAAATCACGCAGGTAGGTTGGAGGCCATCGCTATTAGGGTGGAGGCCATTACTACTAGTAACAAGAAGCTACTAGGCAGAGGCCATCGCTCTTAGGTTGCAGTCTTCAGATGTTTTTATGTGTGTATTCTGTGCTGCGTTTCTTGCGCCACTGCATTTGGCGTCAAGAAGACTGTGACAGGACGGGGACAAAGATGCAAAGCACCTCCGCGAGATTTTTTACCCGAAGGCTCGAGTCGAATCTGCGTGGCAGGTGTTGCTCCTTGGATCTCCGGCAGTGAAAGATTAGTAACAAAGCATTCTAACAGCACGTTCCACCCAATTCCAGCAACAGCTCAGTAAATGCAGTTGTCAAGTTGCAACCAACATGCAAGACTGACCTTAGATGGGACAATCTCCATCTTTTGGACAGAGAATTTCAAGGAGAGGGTGATGGTTATTGCCTTTAAGCCATCGCTATTGGGTTGGAAGCCATCGCTCTTAGGTTAGAGGCCATCGTGAGTAGGTTGGAGGCCATCGCTAGTAGGTTGGAAGCCATCGCTAGTAGGCTGGAGGCCATTGCTGGTAGGTTGGAGGCCGTTGCTACTGGTGGAGGAGGTTCCTTAAAGTCTTTTGTGTACTCCAGTTGTTGGATGCATTTCGGCTTGGTGGGGGGCTGCCGCACCTGGCTCGCGAAAGGGCTTCACTGACAAAGATATCGTTGCCCTGTCCGGTGCACACACCGTTGGGCTCGGTGCCAAGTGTGTTGCGGCTGATCGTGGCTGCTTTTAAACCTGCCAAAACCACTGGCCGCGAAGCTTGCAGGGCGTGCCATGGGGAACGGTCTGGTTTCGAGGGTCCATGGACTGATGCAGCGCCCTCAGTCAATGCAGTCCAATGCGTCCACGTTGTGCAATGGCCTCCACTCTACTAGCGATAGCCTCCAACTTACTAGCAATGGCCTC